CGTCGTCGTCGTTGTCGTCGTCGTCGTCTTCCCTCCTCCCTCGTCGTTGCCGTCGTCGGCGTCGCCGTCCTTCCTCCTTCTTCGTCGTTCGCGTCGTCGCCGTCCTCCCTCCTCCCTCGTCGTTGTCGTCGTTGTCGCCGTCGTCGTCCTCCCTCCTTCCTCGTTGTCTTGGTTGGCGACGTCGTCGTCGTCTTCGTCGTCGTCGTCGGCGTCGGCGTCGTTGTCGTCTTCGTCGTCGTCGACGTCGGTGTCGTCGTCGCCGCCGTCGTCGTCGTCGTCGTCGTCGGCGTCGTTGACGTCGTCGTCGTCGGTGTCGTCGTTATCGTCGGCGTCGTCATCGTCGTCGTCGTTGTCATCGTCGTCGTCGTCGTCGGCGTCGGTGTCGTCGTCGTCGTCGGTGTCGTCGTCGTCTCGTCGTTGTCGGCGTCGTCGAAGTCGTTGGAGACGTCGTCGGTGTCGTCGTAGTCGTTGTCGGCGGCGTCGTCATCGTCGTTGTCGCTGTCGTTGTCGGCGTCGCTGTTGTTGCCAAGTGCCATGTGGTACCCACCGTCACGGTCTTAAGAGATTTTGCGAACCAAGTTGCGGGTGGGTGGGTGGGATGTTTGCGCGAGCAGTGGAGTCGACAATTCACTGCGAACAGAAATTAATTACACAACGTAGCCTGCACCACATATGATGCACCGCGTAGCCTGCAGACCATATCTTGCATCAAGTGGCTTACACTACATAGCTCCATAGCCATTTTGGCTCAAGCATTTGTTTGGCTCAAGCTTGGTGGTGCACGCCTCGTTCTCGCATATGTCATCCGTCGTCTCCTCCTCGCCCTCCGCCTTCCCTGCTCGATGGCGATGCCTGTGTAGATGCGCTGCCCGGGCTAACATCTGGCGAGACCCTGAAGTGTTGTTACCGTAGTCGTCCGCGACAAATATTCCAGACAGCTGGTCTGGTCGTAAGTCTACTTGCTGGTTTGCGTTGTTGTTTGCGTGTGCCAGAACACATTTCCATGACGCACTGACCGCCACTCAGAAAGAATTGACCAACAGATTTTCTGATTGTGTTGACTTTGATGAAGTACACCATCCTTGTTCTGAACGTGATGCAGATCCTCTTGTCTGGAAATTTCCGGTCATCGGGAACGACTCGAATTGGTCACGAGATATTCCGAGGAAGTTTTGGCTGGTTTGGGATATTGGTGAAAATCATGTCAGCAACTACGACAAGAAGACAGTGTCCCTCACACGTCGCATGAACCCTGACTGGGACGTGCAAGTGCTAACCCTTGAATCGGTGCTTCAGTACATCGATGAGCTTTTTCTCAAAGACTTGGTTATGAACGTATCCGGTGTTTTGCAGTCTGATGTTTTCTACAGGCTCATCCCACAAGCAGTGAGTGACCTCGTGCGTTTGATAATCCTCCATGAACAAGGCGGCGTGTACTGGGATATGGGATGCATTCCCACTCAGCCATTGGATGATTGGGTATTCTCGGTGCCAATAACAGAAGAAGGTAGAGTCGCCTTGCTGCTGAAGGAGACTTCTGGAGTCGGGGACCAACATCTCGCAAACTCCGTGCTGGATCCAGATGAGCGTCACTTTCTTGCTTTCCACATGGGCGGTTCCTTGATGCCCAAGTGTGCGATTCGGCCTCTTTTCCATCAGTGGCCTATAATTCAGAACCATGTCATGGTTTCTTTACCTCGTACGGCATTTTTACGGAACGTTCTTGCAACCTTCACGCCTCGGTTTGCGCGGTTCCTCTGGGCGCAGGATGGGAACGAAAAGTACGACGAATTCGTGCACAGCGCATACTTCGATTGCTTACCAGGGTACGGGCTTGGGCAGAACAGGGTCGACAAGGGAGCGTATTTTCAGGGATACCTTCCAGTGCAAAGTTGCCCTCGTTGCGAAGGGGCCCGATGCACTCTTGGAGTACAGGTTAGATATTCGAAATTCTGAATTTGCTGGGCCATACACATTCCTGCAGCGGACTGCATGGCACCAACGGGACTTGGAAGGGCCGGGGCGTTCTCTGATATACCATGCAAATCCATGGCAGGAGCGCGAATCGAGTTCATGCAGTTTGCTTACGATGAGTTTGCATGGCATGCTCCAAGACAGTGAATCCCCCGAAGAAATTGAGTCCGATTTGCTTCGCATCAAGCGTGTCTTCCCTTATGTCATCAAGGTAAATGGGGCCTACGAACACAGATGCAGGAAGCAGTATGACCAACATGGATACACGCCTGATTCCTTACTCGGCAGATTGGACGGTAATTATGTGGACGGAAAGTGAGGCTACTAGTTCTCAACGGTTGAGGGGTGCAGATGTCATCCCCAGCAGAACGGCATACTGTGTGGCGTGTTGATCTGTCGGGTTGCCCGCTGAGGTCCGACAAATCTAACGGATAATTTTGCACATCATACGCAGTTGCTTGTCCAGCACACGCTTAGGGCTGCCCAGCGTCCGCTGCACTTCGATTCCGCCTGCGGCCTGAAACTGCTTGTTTCGCGCGTCGCCACGGCGGCCTCGGAGACTTGCTATGCTTTGCGAGTGCATACCGTGACGCTCCGCTCCGCGGGGCGGGAGGCTCGGGTCGTGTCTTTTTTAAGGTTAGCTACACCATGTCGCTCTAGGTCCCCAGCCCCTCTTCCTCTTCCTCGTCGCCGACTCAAAGCTCGCCCGTCAATGTTTTGGAATGCTCCTCCTTACCATCAGAAAGCGCGCATGCCTTCGCACTGCGAAGTCATTGACCTGATGCTTTTCTTCGAGAGCGCGATTCGCGACAAGTGCGGCGCCGCCCCCCGATGCACTTCGTCGAGAGAGGCGTGTCGCGACAAGTGCGGCATCGTCTCACGTGGCTGATCGTGCCGCAGCACGTTGCCAGCCACACTTCCAGTGTTGCCGCGGGTTTCTGCGCATCGCAAGGACGCCGTCTGATGTCTCCCGCGGGGCTGGGGGAGATCTGCAACACCAGGCACGACCTGCGTATGCTGCGGAGCCCAGAACTGCTCCGCGCCCGCAGCCCGTGCAGCGCCGTCGTGCAAGAAGTGGCTTGCACTAGATTGCTTGCATCACACAGCTTGCACCGCGCAGCTTTAACCATACAGCTTGCACCACGCTGACTGCACCGCAGTGCTCACACCACATAGCTTGCACCACCAATCTTACGCATCCATAGAGCAGTAGCTCACTGACAGGGTCAACGCGGACGAACACGTCCCGAAGGGATTGGTTGTTGGTTTGGGTGATGGTGATGATGGTGCGCGAGTATGATGTGACAGCATGGCTGACAGCCCTTGGCAACAGAAAACTCCCAATGATGCGGTTGTTAATGCTTGTGTTGATCATGATCATGATGGTTATTCTGATGACGTTGAGTAGGATGATGAGGTGGAGTATGAGGGTGAGGATGGGAATCAGGATGAGGGTCAGGATTGGTACGACTATGGCACACGCTTGCAGAGCTCATGTCGACTCCGATTCGATTCAATTCGATTCCGATGGCTTCCGATCCCGATTCGATTCGACTTGGGATTCCGATTTGGGATTCGATTTCTTATTGGAGGCATACTAGCCTGCCGACTCCCGCCGATTCGACTTTTCCCGACTCGGCTGCCGATCCGATTTCCGCGGATCCGATTCATTTCGATCGCCGATCCAATTTTTTTGATTCGATTTTTGGGGCGCCTGGACGTATCCACGCTCTTACAGCGACCCCTCGGCCTGCGCTAGAACCGTCGAGCGCGCGAAGCGCGCGCGATTTTTCTAGTATGTACGTATGTATGAAAGAGCGTGTTCTACCGCTGCTAGCGGAAAACCGGGGGGGGTCACTACCGGTTCGAACTCCTCCCCCCCCCCCCCTCCGGAAAACCGGGGGGGGTCACTACCGGTTCGAACCCCCCCCCCCCCCTCCCCGTTCATCATGAAAAGGAGGGGGGGTCACTACCGGTTCGAACCCCCCCCCCCCCCCTTCCCGTTCATCATGAAAAGGAGGGGGGGTCACTACCGGTTCGAACCCCCCCCCCCTCGAGCTCGAAAACCGGGGGGGTCACTACCGGTTCGAACCCCCCCCCCCTTCGAAAACCGAGGGGGGGTGCGGACAGTGGTGGTGACGGTGGTGGTGGGGACAGTGGTGAGGGGACAGCGGGACAGTGGTGGGGACAGTGGGACAGTGGTGGGAACGGTAGTGGTAGGGACAATGGTGAGGACAATGGTGGGAACAGTGGGGACTCTGGGACAGTGGTGGGGACGGTGGTGGTGGGGACAGTGGTGTGGGGACAGTGGGAATGTGGTGGAAACAGTAGGACAGTGGAGGGTACAGTGGTGGTGGGGACAGTGGTGAAGGCGGTGGCGAGGACGGCGGTGGGACAATGGGACAGAGGTACAGTGGGGACAGTGGTAGGGACAGTGGGGACAGTGGTGGGAACAGTGGGACAGCTCAGTGGTTCGAACCGGTAGTGACCCCCCCCTCCGGTTTTCGAGGGGGGGGGGGGTTCGAACCGGTAGTGACCCCCCCCGGTTTTCGAGCTCGAGGGGGGGGGGGGGTTAGGGGAGGGGGGGGTTTTGCCGGGGGACGAGGGGTTCCAGCAGGGGGGGGGGATTTTCGGAGGGGGGGGGTACCCCCGGGCGGCAATTTTCCACAGTAAAGCGGCGGTGGATCATGCTCTCTCGTATGTATGTATGTATGTATTTATATATGAATACACATGTGCGGCTTCTCGTGCAGTGCTTCACTTGATTGGACATGAAACGACTCATTATCACCTTGTGATTACATTAGCCCAGCATGTCTTGATGAGGGTGCTCAGCTGCGATCCCTTGTTGCTCTCTTTATCTGCGTGGTGGACCGCTCGGAGCTCGGGTCGCTTCGGTTGCTCTGGTTTGAGCGCCTCCTGCCAGCCTCTGCCCGCCCACCTGCGCAATCTGACAATCCCTGGCGGCCTCCTGGAGTCTCAGCCTTCGCCTCTCCAGAGCCGCCTCTGCGAAGGGGGGAGGCCGCAGAACATCTGGGCCCGAGCCGCGCGGCTTGGGCCCTCCAGCCTCTGTCGAGCCATCGAGATGTTCGCCACTCTGGCCTAACGAAGAGTCTCGGCGGGTGGTCAGCCCCCACAGAGGTGGAAAAGGCACCGATACCGCCTCGCTTTCGTCTCTTTGGGCCTCCTGGGAGGCCATACTTAGTCGCCACCGCTGGATTCGTTCGAGATTCTGGTCAGAACGCACCCCGGGAGAGTTCCGGTGCGGGCAAGATTCACACCCATATCCACTGCGTCTTGGACTTCCTGGGAAGTGGCGCCAGCGGGCTGCTGAAGCGCAGGGGATCTATTGGCAAACGCTTCGCCTCTGGGGGGCCAGATGTTTACCCCTGCCCACCGCGCGCCTCGAGCCTGGGGACGGGAGCCCGAGGCTCCACGATGCAGGGGAGCAGCGGTATCGATGCCCTGTGGCTCTCCCCCCCCCTTCCATTACCAGTTTGAAACATATCCCTATCCCTATGTTTGACATCACCTCACCTCGATGCCGATCTTGAGGATTCCCTCAGTTTCTGAGGGCCTGTCCCTAAGATTGTCCTCGCCTTTTGCTCGCCCATCTTAGGGATAGGGACACGTTCGAGGCTGGTTATTCCACGCGCGCACATGGCGGCCCGCGGCGCGAGGCGTGGAGCCCTCCGCGCGTGCGCGTGCCTGGGCCTGCTCTCGGGCGCGGCCGGGCTCCCCGCGCGGCCGGCGGCGGCGCCTCCGTCCGCCGCTCGCGCGCCGCGCGCGCCCGCGGGCCCGCGCGGAGACAGTCCCGGAGATCCGGGCGTTGCTCTGCGACGGGTGCGCCGGAGGAGGGCTTCAGGCACCCAGGCCCCTGCACTGCCCTCGTGAGCGCCTCTCTGCTCCTCCTATCGGAGGCTCTCTCGTCGCAGAGGGCTGGATTCGCCTCGAAATTCGAGTCTGAACGCGCCCCGGGAGCTTGGCATCGCTCGGACGTGTGTATTTTTCCTTCGGCGAGGACCATCGATGAACATCCTTGATCATTCGGCGGAAAGACCACGCACGATACCGAAAAAAACACAGGGAATGGACGTCCGAGCGATGGCCAGCCAGTGCGTCGGAGGAGGGCTTCAGGCACCCGGGCCCCTGCACTTCCCTCCTGCGCGCCTCTACGCTCCTCCTCTCGGAGGCTCGCGTCGCAGGGGGCCGGGTTCGCCTCGAGATGCGAGGCGGAGCGCGCACCGGGAGGGGTCCTGGGGAGCAGCGGCATCGGCAAGTGTTGGCTTCCCCCATGCGAGCCCTGGAGATTGTCTTGTTTTTTCTGTTTTGGTTTTATGGGTCCAGCGATACAGTCGGGGCGCTAAACAAGGAACCCTTTTCGTTGGGGAGGGGCTCCGTGTTCCTTAATGTTTCGCAGCTTGCCTTAGGTTGTCCTTAGGTTTTCGATGGGGAATCGAAGTTTAACTTATTGAAAAAAAAGGGCCTCGTTCCTTATTTAGTGCTCCTTAGGTCAACGCCCCGACTGTAAGCCGGGTGAGCGGGCCCGCCCGCCCCCCCCCCTCGCCCCCAGATAGCCTTACCTAACTTGTCGGTCGCGCGGGTCCGAGTGCTCTGCGAAAGATAGGAGACAGCCAGCTCGTGTCCCTGCGTGTCCAATCCGCGCTGGGGTGTCGCACGCCCCCGCATTGCCGCCGGGGTTCACGTGAGCGACGGAGGAAAACGGAGTCGACTGCGCCCACATTCGCGCGTAAGCTTCCCGCGTAAGGTCGCGCGTATGCGCCCTCTTCTCCACGCGGTCCGCCATGCCGGTGCCCCGCGTAACTAAACCTCGGCGTGAGGTCACTATGCCATCGTGCGTCAGACCCGCTTGTTTTCGTCACCCACTAGGCTGCAGGCATCCTTCGAATTCTGAACCCTGCCGGCGTTCCAGAAATCTTGACCTGGAGGGGTAGGGCTCGCATGTGGTTGCGACGGCGCGTTTCTGTCAAACCGGCCGTGCCTGCCCGGTTTCGGATCTCGAGAGCCTCGCAGGCCGATCTGGCTTGCGAAACCCCGCAGACAGTCGGGGTCCAGGGCTCCGGCTATAATGTTTGATAATGTAGTCAGCCGGCAGAAAAAAGGGGTTCAGCGCAAACGGGGCTCAGCCAGAGCGCCGGCTCCTGCAGGATTCTGCACAGCCAGCCAGATTTTGGCTGAGCTGGATTTGGGAGCCGCTCGCAGTGGAGATGGCTTTGTTTGTTGGATGAGCTAAGCTTGGGAAGCCCCCCCGACAAATTGCAGCGCAGTTCTGTCGAGATTGGCTGAGCCAGGTTTGGGAATCCCCCCAACAAATCGGCTGTGCCGAGTTTGCGCTGAGCTGGGTCAGTCCACGCCCGATGTAGCATTTTACTGCGACGTCGGATCTCAGGGTTAGACATCGGACATCGGGCCACCAGCTGTCGCCAGCGAGTGCACCGCGTGCGGGCGACGCCTCAACGGGTGCTGCCGCGGGTGAGCGCGGGAGCTCGCGCCGAGGCCCGGGGGACAATCTGTGCATGGAGGGACACCTCGTGCCGGAGCTGTTCGTCATCTCTCGGGGAGGCGCAAGACTCGAGTTGGACGCAGCTCGGGTTTGCCGACGCTTGTTGACAGGCCCAGGCTGGAGTTTGACGGTCTGGTTTTCCTGGGATGTTTGCAGCAGGAGCTCGCGTCGAGTTTCAGACTGGGTCTCGTCGTTTTCCTGTGGGCCCCAGCATGCCAACTCGGGTCCCCCAAACCCGAGTCTGACGTCTCCCTGAATCTCGAGGAACAAACAACTGCATAACCATAAATGCTCGGAGCTCCGCGCGGATTTCTTGGATCGGCACTGGGCCCCCAGGGCGGCGCCTCCTGCGCCGCTCCTGGCGCGCTCTGCGCGTCAGGGAGGGGGGGCCCAGCGCAGGTCCAAGAAGTCCACGTGGAGCTCCAAACGTTCACGTGTACGCAGTTCTTCTTTCCCTGCCATCGGGGCGCCTAAGGCGAGCACGACCACGTTCGCGCGCAGCTTCCGGGACAGCGCGGGCGTCTACTTGGCTCGGCTGCCTTTTAAGAAGAAGGCGGGAGGATTATCCAAGGAGGTGTATTTCTTTGATGAGCTCGCGGAAGACCGGGCTCTGAGCCTCCAGAAGAAGGGTGCGTGGCTGGAGTTTTACCCTCGTTGCCTCGAAGAGCGCGCGGTTTCGACCGATATGACGCCGTCGTACCTCCGCAATACCTGGAGCGCGGGAAAGATCGCAGAGTACTACGGGGACCTGAAATCGAAGCCAGTGTTTGTAGTGCTGCTGAGGGAACCCGTTGGGCGTGCCCAGTCTCATTTCAACCAAATGGAGGAGTTGGGAACTGGCCTTCTGCCAAAGGGGCTCACCTTTAGTGGATTCGTCACTAGGTACTTGCAGAATGGGTACGACACAGAAAAAAAGTTAATGTGGTGCGGCCAGTACGCCAAACAGTTGAGAGTTTGGTTTCAGCGATTTCATTCTTCACAGTTTTGGATCTGTCCCATGAAATACCACGTCGATCCGCACCGCTTCGGTATCGTGCCAGATCTCACTAGCACGTTGTGGGATTATTCAATCGCGCTGCAGCGCATATCCGCCACCGCGCTTGGGGAAAAAGCGCCCGGCAGCACGTAGCTGTTCGGGATGTGTTGTTCTGGCGTGGTCTGTTGGCACCGTTGCACCCGCATGCGTTTCAGAATATTTGCATGTGTAGACCATGTTTGTTCAATTGTTCCAGCATGGCCGCGTAAGCCGCCTGAGTAAGGGTTCGCGTAAGTTCCCGCGTCAGATTTTGTGTGAGTATACATTGATGCATGCAAACCAAAAACAAACCACGCCGTGCAAAACAAAACACGAACCACGCCCAACCCTTGCTTTGCCCTGCGTCGCGCATCCAACCTGATCGACCAACCCCTTTCCAGCAGACCCGGGGCCGAACCGCGCAAAACGGGCCACGAATGAGGAGATTTCCCCAGTTAGCTGGGCGGGGCTGAGCCGCGCATGACGGACAACTCGCGGCCCGATCTGCGCAGTTAGTTCGGTGAGCCCCGCCTCCCGACTTCCAACGGTCCGATTTGGGCAGGCAGCTGGGCGAGGTGTGTGCCGCGCAGCGCATCGCCGCGCAAAACGGACCACTAACGGTCTGATTTGCGCAGTTCGCTTGGCGAGGGCTGAGCCGCGCAGAACAAACCACCAGCGGTCTGTCATGCGCGGCTTCGTTCTCGCCCAGCTAGCTGCCAAATTGAGCCATTGGTGGTCCGTTTTGCGCGGCGCAGCCCCCGCCCAGCTGGCCAGCTGCGCAGATCGGACCACTAGTGGTCCGTATAGCTCGGGTCGGCCTTGCCTAGCTAGCTGCGCAGATCGTACCATCAGTGGTACGTTTAGCGCGGCTTGGCCCCGCCCAGCTAGTTGCGCAGATATAAAGCCGTCAGTGGCCAGTTTTGCCCAGGCCAGCCCCCGCCGAGCTAGCTGCGCATATTGGAAAGTTCGTTGCCCCTTATGCGCGGCGCAGCCTCCGCCCAGCCAGCTGCGCGAATCGGGCCGCTAGCGCGAGTTGACCCCCGCCCAGCCAACTGCTCAAATCTGCCCCTCGCCCGTCCGCCTCGCCGAGCTAGATGCCAAATCGGACCACTCGTGGTCCGCTTTGCGCGGCGCAACCCCCGCTCAGCCAGGCGCGCAACTTGGATTGTTAGCGGTTCCTCCCCCGCCCAGATAGCCGCGCAGACCCCGCCCAGCTCGCTGCCGAATGTGACCTCTCGCGGTCCGTTTTTGCGCGGCGCGACCCCCGCCCAACCGTCCATGCAGCCCAGGCCCTCAGCGACCCGTTTTGCGCGAAACGGCCCCCGCCCAGTTGGTTGCCAAATCGAAGCGTTCGTGGCCCGCTTTGCGCGGCGCAGCCCCCGCCCAGCTATCGGCGCAAATCAGACCGTCAGCGGTCAGGCGCGAAATGGCCCCCGCCCAGCTAGCTGCACACGCTGGTTGGATCCTTTGCAGTCTCTTACCGACGAGCTGCCACATCGGGCCGTTTTCGCCCCGCCCTGCGCGGCGCAGCCCCCGCCCAGCTATCTGCGCAAGTCGGACTCCAGTGGTTCATAGTGCGCAACGCATTTCCCGCCCAGCCAACTGCGCGCGAGTCCAAACACCATTCAGCATGGGGTGCTTGCCATCAGCGATCCTGGATCGGTAGCCGCGTGAGCAGTGCTTACCCTGAGGGCGCCCAGGGCACATCTGGCCGATGCGCCTCGCGCATCTACCATCTACCGCCCGAAAAAACCAGCGCGCCTGAGACATCATACAAACGCAGCGACACCACCATGAGACCATGGCAAAGCAGTGAACTTGTGGGCTAGCACATACAAAGGGGCATCAGGCAGCTCGTGCCTTCGTGGAAGACGATGCCTGGGGGCAGCGAGCACCAGTGGCCCTCGGGCGACGGCCGCGCTTCCAGTACGAGCAGGCCATGGTGTAGCGCAGCTCGGCCCCGCCCAGCTAGCTGCCACATCAGACCGTTACTGGTCCGTTTTGCGCCATGCAGCCCCCGCGCAACAAGCCGCGCCAATCAGGCCCCGGGTAGTCCCCGCCCAGGTGGCCGCGCAAATCGGACCCTTGGTGGTCCGTCGAGCACAGCGCGGCCCCGCCCAGCTAGCTGCTAAATCTAAGCGGTTGTTGTTTATTCTGCGCGGCACAGACCCCGCCCAGCTAGCTGCGCGACTCGAGCCCCCAGTGGTCCGTTTTGCGCGATGCAGCCTCCGCCCAGTCAACTGCTCAAATCTGACCGTTAGTGGTCCGTTTAGCCCAGCGCGGCCTTCGCGCGGGTAGCTGCGCAATGCGCGGTCCGTTTTGCGCGGTGCAGCCCTCGCCCAGCCAGCCGCGCAAATCGGACCCTTGGTGGTCCGTCGAGCACAGCGCGGCCCCGCCCAGCTAGCTGCCAAATCTAAGCGGTTGTTGTTTATCCTGCGCGGCGCAGACCCCGCCCAGCTAGCTGCGCGACTCGAGCCCCCAGTGGTCCGTTTTGCGCGATGCAGCCCCCGCCCAGTCAACTGCTCAAATCTGACCGTTAGTGATCCGTTTAGCCCAGCGCGGCCTTCGCGCGGGTAGCTGCGCAATGCGCGGTCCGTTTTGCGCGGTGCAGCCCTCGCCCAGCCAGCCGCGCAAATCGGGCCGTTGGTGGTCCGTTTTGCGTGGAACATCCGCCGCTCAGCTGATTGTGCAAATCGAATTGTTTGTGGTCCATTTAGCACGGCTTGGCCCCGCCCAGATAGATGCACAATCGGGCGCTTTGCTCGGTGCAGCTCCCGCCCAGCTAACGGCGCAAGTCGAACTCTTAATGGTGCGTTTGTTTTGCGCGAGACAGCCCCCGCCCAGTGCGCGAGACAGCCCCCGCCCAGCTAGCTGCTCAAATCGGACCCTTAGTGGTCCGTTTAGGGCAGCTCGGCCCCTCCCAGCTAGCTGCCAAATCGGACCGTGTCTGGTCCCTTTTTACGCGGCACAGCTCCCGCCCAGGTAGCTGCGCAAACCGGACCGTTAGTGATCTGTTTTTCCGCGAAACAAAGCCCGCCCAGCTAGCTGCGAAAATTTGACCCTCGGAGGTCAGTTTAGGGCAGCTCGGCCTTGCCCACTTAGCTACCACATCGGACCGTTTGTGGTCCGCTTTGCGCGGTGCAGCCCCTGCCCAGGTAGGTGCGTCCATCGGACCATTAGTGGTCCGTTTTGCGCCGTACATTCCCCGCCCAGCTAGCTGCTGAAATTGGACCGTCAGTTGTCCGCCTAGTGCTACTCGGCCACGCACAGCTAGCTGCCAAATCGGGCCCAGCTGCTCAATTGGGCCCACGTAAGGTTCAACCCAACATCCAGCACTAGCAGAGCAGGATGGCCGCTGATCCGGAGAAGACACCTGGAGACATACCCAGACGAGTACTTCACGGGTCTGTACGATCAGTGTGAAGTTCTAGAGCTCCGTGGCAGCAATCAACATGTTGGTGTCGCAGCATTGTCATAGGCTGTATGGTTAGGCGATCGTCAGAAAGAAGCACAGCAACATCACAACCTGGGTTCATTTCGAGGCGGCACCGCTGTATTTGTCAGCAAGGAGCGGCGCGAACTTGGGCCATACCCGCGCTCGCCGCCGAAGTGTGCGGTGGCGGATCTGGGCCTTCCGCGTGGCCAGCCTTTGCCGGGGTTGCACCTGAACAGTCACAAGCATCGCAGCCTCGAGATGGACTTGGACAAGGACCAGGGAAGCCAAAACGTACCGATACCGCTGCTCCCTGGACCTGTCCCGGGATGCTTTCAGACTAGACTTTCGAGGCGAATCCAACCGTGGCGACGATGACCTCCTGGGAGGCCCAGAAAGGCGAAGACAAGGGAAAGGTAGCGGTATGGGTACCGTTTCCTGCTCCGAAAGGACCTCCTCGCCCGCGTGCGGTCCAACCTCAGCAGCGTCCTCCCTGACCTGGCGGCATTGCTGGCGGCCTCTAGGGCAAGGCTCTTCGGGTACACGGGGGCGGCCGGCGACGAGCTGGCCGTTCGACGGTGGATTGCTGGTGGCTGGTGAGCGTGAGGGGGCCCGGGGGAGGGCCCTTTCCAATTCGGCAGGCAACAGCCGCCGAGCAGGAGAAGGTCAGTATTGTTTAACCGATCCTTATCCCCATCCCCTTCCCGATCTCCACCATCCCAACACCACAGTTGGGGACATGTCCCTGGAAACCCGAAGGGAACCGCCCATATCCCAATCCGAGGGGGTGAATCGGCAAGTGGGGCCAAGGCCACTCCTGTGGGGATAGGGATCGGTTGAACCATGCTCTGAAGGGGACGGGAAGAGGAGAAACATGCCGCCAGTAGGCAAAGCCTGTTGCGATCACGACGTGCCGTTTCGTTGTTGCGAGGTGCCTTGTTTTTGGCCGCCATGTTTCGGTGCTTGTTGTAATGTATATTCAACCAAGGCAAATATGTTTGAATCCCTTTCTCTCATAAGCCGTACGCGGAAAGGTGCGTAGACGCAACTCAAGCATGCAATGCGGGTTCACGTTGGGCTTGCTGCCTGATTCGCTGCATGCTTTCTCTTATCACAGCAGCGTGTTTGGCGACCTGCCCAACCCAGTCGTTTCTCTTGGCTAATCATCTCTGTGGCAAATAATCTCTGTTGCCAACGTGAGCGTGCCAGGGATGAAAGTGCGCTTCTTCAATTCGTCTCCCTCAAATGTACTCACGCATCTCCCGTACAGTAGCACTTGATGTTTACTGTGCTTTTCCAGTTGCCCTCCTCATCTGTTTGACTCTTGGCTGTTGCAAACGTGTGGACCTTCTCGGGGCAGGTTTCCCTTGGCAATGCTGTGCCGTCTTGGGGCGCCCTGGGAAACCGTGGCCACGTGTGTACGATTCCTTGAGCCTCATCGGTCGATCTTATGGCCTCTTGGGTACGCCTGGGAACGTTTCGGGGACTTCGGGAGCTCTGTGGGGACCCTGCGAGGCCACTCAAATCCTGAGGAGGCCTCTAGAGGCCCTGGGAGGAGTCGGAAGATGTCACGAGATTTTGGGATACCCTGGGAGGCCTCATTTGGAGAATCTCGTCATTGTTTGCTTTACACGCGTCCAGCTTGAAGTGCCCGCGAGAGGGCTTGCGAGAGCCGACAGCTGCATAAAAGAGACCAGCGATGCTCCCAAGGCAGCCCAGGAGGGCCCCAATGCGGCCGAGGCGCGCAAGCAGCCCGAAATAGTCACACGACGGCCTAAGACGGCCCAAAGAAGACACCAACACGGCCCAAGAGAGCCACCAGAGGGTCCTGAGACGCCCCAAGATACCCCAAGAGGGCCCAAGAGGCACCCAAGAGGTACCCCTGACGGACAGTTCAAGCGAACCACAAGACGTCCGCCAAGACGGCCTCGGACGGCTTTCATGTTCCCATGTCTTCCGTCAGCAGCTGAGCCAGCAGATATATCAGCACACGGTAACATCCTAGCTCAGCGATTGCAACAAGCGCCCGCAGTGGAACGCTCGAACAAATATGCAGCCCCGAGTTCCCGCGAATGCGACTAAACAGAAGCGCTTCCTAATGTGCCAACCGAGACAGGTTGGCAGTGGGCCCAGAGGTGCAGTTCCCTACCTAGGCTCTGCCTAGAAGGGTTCTTACTCTCTGGGCTGAAAGGGGCCGGGCAGTGGAAAGCGCCCCCGGCGGTTCCCCCAGTATCCGCCCCGCGGTTCCCCCAGTTACGTCCTTTTAGCTCAGCGTTGCTTATCTCATCTTAGCTTAGCTTATTTAATCTTAGCTTAGCTTAGCTTGATGTCAGCTCAGGTTTATCTTAGTTATCTTAGCTTCGCAGAGCTTTATGTTGATGGTGATGATGTTGACGGTGATGGTGTCCCGATCATGATGATGGTGATGTTGATGATGATGGTGATGAGGTGATGATGATGATGGTGTCCCGATGATGATGATGATGCTGATGATGATGATGCTGATGATGTTGATGACGTTGATGACGATGATGTTGATGATGATTCCCTACCTAGGATCTGTCTAGAAGGGTTCTTACTCTCTTGGCTTAAAGGGCCGGGCAGTGGGAACCCGCCCGGGCGGTTCCCTCAGTATCCGCCCCGCGGTTCCCCGTCGTCGTCGTCGTCGTCGTCGGTCGTCGGTCGTCGGTCGTCGGTCGTCGGTCGTCGTCGTCGTCGTCGTCGTCGTCGTCGTCGTCGTCGTCGTTGTCGTCGTCCCCCCCGCCTAGAGCAAACAAAAAAACGGATCCGTGGGCGACGCCGCCGCTGCCGCCATTGCCGCCGCTGCCACCTGCTCCTCCTCGTCATCCTCACCGTCATCCAGCTCCTTGTCCTCCTGCCCCGGATCTGTGGGTGTATTTTGTGGCGCTCGTGTGTGCCAACCGCGTTGCCAGTTTAGTCTTCTGTTCAAGTAATTAGCATGGGTGTAATTCCCTACCTAGGCTCTGCCTAGAGGGGTAGTTTAGCTTAGCATAGCGCAGCGCAGCATTAGCATAGCATAGCATATCATAGTCAATCATAACATAGCATATCATAGCGCAGCATAGCATAGCATAGCATATCATAGCATAGCGCAGCTTAGCCTATCATAGCATATCATAGCTTAGCATAGCACAGCGCAGCATGTCATAACATAGCATAGCATTGCATAGCATAGCATAGCGCAGCATATCATAACATAGCATAGCACAGCATAGCGCAGCATAGCATGGCATGGCATGGCATGGCATGGCATAGCATAATTAGCATAGCATGGCATAGCAACTCATGCTGCTTTCCTAGGGGCTCCAACTTCTAGGTAGGATCGCACTGTGGTAACTTCACAGAATCTAGCGAACGGTTTTGGCATTGGACAGTAGTATTCTGAAGAGGGGTCGTGGCCCTGGGAGCGCGGATTAGTTCTCACGTGCATTTTGACATTCATGATGTAAGCGTTTCGCCCAGGGGGGCTACAAGCAGAGCAGGCACTCGGACGAGGAAGGAGGAGGCGGAAGAGTAAGAGGTGGAGGAGGAAGGGGACGAGAACAAAGAGGACGATGAAGGGTGAGGGAGGAGGAGCAGGAGCAGGCTGAGAAGGAGGTGGAGGAGAAGAAGGAGGTGGAGGAGGAGCAGGCTCAAGAGGAGGTGGAGGGAGGAGGAGGAGGAGGAGGAGGAGGAGGAGGAGGAAGAGGAGCAGGCTCAGGAGGAGGTGGAGGAGGAGAAGGTTCCAAGGAAGGCCGAGCGGGGCCGGCTGGCCCTCGGCTCGAGCGAAGGCCCGCCGCCGGCGCCAGATGGCGTAGACGCGCGGGCCCACGGCGGGCACCTCGCGCCCCCCTGGAGCGCCCCCTCCCCAGACGGCGCAGGCGGGCCCTCGCCGCCGCCCTCGCTGTCGTCGTCGTCGTCGTCGTCGTCGTCGTCGTCGTCGTCGCCGTCGTCGTCGTCGTCGTCGTCGTCGTCGTCGTCGTCGTCGTCGTCGTCGCTAACGCCGCCGCTAACGCCGCCGCCGCCCTCGCCGTCGCCCTCGCCGTCGCCGTCGCCGTCTCCGTCGCCGTCGTCGTCGCCGTCTCCGTCGTCGTTGTCGTCGCCGTCGCCGTGGCGACCGTCGCCGCCGCCGTCGCCATTGCCCTTGCCGTCGTTATCTTCGCCGCTGCGTTCCACCCTGCGCACCCCAAGGGGTCCCAGGCCGAGGTGGCGATCCAGCGGGGTTGTCCGGCTCCGCCAGGGGGGCAGGGGGAGTCCTATCCGTGAAAGTAGGGAGCCCTTCGCAGGAGCGACCTCTCCGAGGAAGCACAAACACGACTTCAGGCCCGTGGATTCGCGAGGTGTCCCGCTTCCACGCAGAACCGCCGCGCTCCGCCATTTCTCGGGGGGCTTTCCCCGATCCATGGATCTTGAGACCGCGCACCAGACCCGCGTATCCCCTAAGCCATGTTAGCGTGCGCCCGACCTTTGGTGCGGGCAGGTCCCCATCGCCGCATGCGGCGCGATGGCAGCGGCCGACCCCACGCCCCCTGAGGCCGCGGTGACCAAGGGTCGCTCTTGCCCAGGGCCACTTCAGCGTATAGCCGAGGGAGGAGGGGGACGACGACGAGAGCCCGGGGGAAGCCGAGCGAGAGACCCTCCCCTGCAGGGATGGCGTGGTGGGGCGGTGGTTCTCCCCGCCACGGCGGCCACGTGGCCTACTCGCCGGTGCCCGTGGCGGACGGGCTGGGGCCGCCTGGGGTTCCCAGGGGCGAGGGGCCTCCAGTGAGGAGGAGGAGCAGGAGGAGGAGGAGGAGGAGGTGGAGGAGGAAAGGAGGAGGAAAAGGAGGAGGAAAAGGAGGAGGAGACGGAGTAGGAGGAGATGGGGGAGGTGGAAGAGGTGGAGGAGAAAAGTCTGAGGAAACGGAGGAGGAGGTGGAGTAGGAGTAGGAGTAGTAGTAGGAGTAGGAGGAGGTGGAGGAGGAGGATGAGGAGGAGGAGGAGGATGAGGAGGTGGCCGAAACGCCATTCCTGGGATTGCGCCGCCGCGAATCAATGTGAACGCTGTGTCTTGAGAGTCTTCAATCGTGCCAGAACGCAATTCCTGGGACTTCTGCGCAGCGAATCACTTTGACGATGGTATCCTCTAATTCGTGCCAGAACATCCTTCCTGGGACTTAACCATACGGACCCGTCAAGCTGTTGCACACTTTGCAGACGAATGTGCGTGCTTTGAAACGGCCTGCCCTCCATCCGTGAAGCTGTTGTGGATTTTCCAGGCGAAAGTGCGCCGCTGATGCGAGAACCACATTTTGAAGACGTCCCGCCCTTCATCCGTGAAACTGTTGCGGATTTTTTTATGCGAATGCGCGCGGCGTTAAGGCGAGAGCTACATTTTGAAGACGGCCAACCCTCCATCCGTGAAACCGTTGCACAATTCAAGCTTCAAGATCTCATGAAGGGATGGAGGACCAGGAGGTGGAGGAGGAGCGGGAGGAGGGGAACGGAGGAGGGGAAGGGAGGATGGGGAGAGCGCTCAGTCCCGCGGCATGCCCAAGAATGGGAAGACGGGGGAGGATGGGGGAGGATGCGGAGCCCTCTTCTGGAGGATGGGTGAGGGGGAGTAGGAGGAGGGATCTCCAGGAGGAGACGGAGGGAGGGAGCGAGGGAATGGGATATCCAGATTTTCTGGCGATGATGACCCTCTCTGGGCCCCGCAGGAGCCTCCTCGCAGAGGCCTCAGGAGTTCCGCGGACCTCCCAGACCCCTGGCGTCATGATTTTTTCATGGCGTGGACCCCTGGAGGTCTCGACCCCTTCCGTGGGACTGAGTTTTCATCCTGAGTCGTTTTTGACGGTCCTCGAGGCCCGGGAGAGGGCTTCCAGAGGCCGAGAATTGCCAAACAACTCCCGTCGCGATTCTTTCACAACCCGAGGGGCTGCGTTTCGGCTTCCACAGGCTGTTGTGAAGCAGAACGCCCTGCCGACGGAGATCGAATAATATAATTGTTTCCGTCGCAGCTCGGCAGAGGCACCCCGCACGTGCGCTCGCAGTAGTCGGGGATGCTCGATTAGATGATAGTCCCTATGCAAGAGGGCGGGCGCGGGAAGGCAGGGCGCCGCGGAAAGCGGAGAGGGGGGAGGGCACTCACAGGCGAAAGAGTTTCACGGCGAGCACGCTGGCGCGGCCAGCCACGCGGTGCCAGGGCAGTAAGCGCGGGGCGGCATCACGGCCGCATTCAAGGACCTTAGCCAGGGTTGCAGGCGCGTGTTAGCTGTACGCCAGTACAGAAGCCCCAGGAAGCTGCCAGGTACGAGTCTCGTACATCCGGTTGTTTGTCACATGGCCTAGCTGTGTCAGGCGTTGCCTCACCGGGCCGGCACCTGCTCCGATTCATCATCATGATGCTGACGTCAGTCGCAGCACCAGCCACGTCCGGGTGGCAGCGACAGCGCGAGGGACGCCATGGCGGCGCGGGAGGGCGGGGAACAAAAAACGGGCGCAGGGAAAATGGGAGGGACGACGAATGCTACAACGGGCATAGCCGTAAATGGTCGGAGCCGCAGAGGGCATTTGTAACTCACTTAGAAGCCAGGTTGGTCCGATAAAACCACTTAAGGACCCTATCCACTTGGCAACGCCCGCGGCCATCCCAGTGCGGGCGCCTCTGGCGCCGTTTTGGGCGCGAGGAGCGCGCTGTCCGCGCGAGAGAACGGGCGTCTGCTGCCGACCCAAGAGATCCGCGAAGACCTGTGTAAGTTTACGTTTAGCCAGAAATTTCCTTTAGGGTAGGGCATTTCCTGGGGTGGGGTGAAGTGGGGGGGCGAGCTCTTGGGCCCAGGTGGCCAACCCCGGAGGCCCTGAAGCCGAGCACGTTCAGCCAGTGCACCGCGGGGGCCAAATTTCTGCCAGGGGGCTTTGACAAATCTGGCGGGAGAATTGTTCGACCCACGGCCGTCGCCGTCGTGGTTGTCGTTGTCGTGGTTTTCGTCTCCGCCCTCGTCGCCGTTCGCGTCGCAGTTCGTAGTCTTCAGCTTCTCCGTCGTCATGGTGGTGGTGGTGGTGGTGGTGGTGGTGGGCGTCGTCGTCGTCGTAGTCATGCCGTTTTCACCGTGGGCGGTTGCGCGATGGCACGTCTGAATCCTGGTTTTCCAACGCCTCCGCTTACGGGGCCCGTGCACGTTGACGTCTCTGTGCTGTCGCCGGTTTCCGCTGGCGGAGCCGCTCCACGATTCTGCTTCCGCTGTCTTCCGCGGGCCTTCAACCCTCTTGAGCCGAGGAGGAGGGGTCAGCCTCCCAGTCCGTCGGAGGCGGTGTCCTTTCTGGAACGCCCTACGTTGCGAAAAGTTCTTCACGCCTCGCGTACCCCCACCAGCGTGGCTCGGCTTGGACATTTGCTTGCATGGACGCTGTGTGGACGCTTTCTGCCCCTGGCCCTGGCATCCACACTCAGTGCAGCTTGCAGCCTACCTGAGGCGACGCTTAGGCAGCTACTTGTTTAGGTTAGGCCGCTCTAGCTTGCTCCTGTTTTAATTAGTAGGCCCGCGCCCCGGACTTACGACTCGCCGCTTGCGCTCTCGCCTGCGGCTGCGACCAAAACAAGTACCCCCACCAGCCCAATCAGAACCCTGTCCTCGAGAGTTGACGGGAAACGGGACGACGAGACACGTGTTTTGAAACAACGCGGGCAACCAGGGTGAACAGAGAGACCTGTGGGAGCAAGGGGGTGGCCTTGGAGGGCTTTTACGGGCCATCCATGGAGCCCGCGTGGGGGGGGAAGGATGACGGGGAGGAGGAGGAGGAGGACGACGACGACGACCACGACGACGAGGAAGAGGAGGAAAAGGAACAGGAAGATGACGAGGGCAAGGACGGACGAGGGCAGAGCCCCACAAATCGCCTTGTGGAGTCCTCTTGGGACTCTTCTGGGGGATCTTGAGGTCCTCTTGGAGCTCTTTTGGGGGGTCTTGGGGCCCTTTTGGGGGCCTCTCTGCAGGAGGAGGAGGAGGAGGAGGAGGAGGAGAAGGAGGAGGAGGAGATGTCTTGGGGGTCCTTTGGGAGCTGACGGCAGTGGTCGGCGGCCAGCCCCGCTGCCAAGTGCTCTTGGTGGGGAGGGTCCCCGATTTCTGCCCCCCAAAAACCCTCGAGATCCCCTGCTGGGGCCCTCTTGCGACGCTCTTGGGGCCGTCCGGGGGGGCTCCTGGCCTCCTTCTGGGCCTCTCTTGGGGCCATCGTGGGACAATCTTGAGGCCTCGAGAGCGCATCGGCAGCGACAAGGTGAGAAGTCAAGCATCATGGTTTCTCTTGAGGATGTTGAAGGATGTTGGCCTCTTGGGGGTGTCCTGGAGGGGGCTCCGAGAGCACTTGGAACAGTCTTGTGGCCCTCGCTGGGCCTCCTGGCGGCATGTCGGAGGCTATCTTGAAGCATCGCCGGCAATCTTGAGCCATCTTGGAGGCCATCCTGGAGCATCGGAGGCCCTCTTGGATACATCTTGGACCATCCTGGACGCCCTCATCGGTCGCTACACCCCCCAAAGAAACCTCAGGGAGGGGATGGGGGGGGTACCCCTCCCCGACGGGAGAGAGCTTGGGAAAAGGAAGAACTCGTTAGACCACTTTAGCCCTAATGGCTGGCGACTGTGGTGGCATTCACAACGTCGAAGGTCTTGGGAGCCCCACGTCTTGGAGGGATGGGGGCGAGATGGCTGGCTCCAGAAGCCCTGGGGGTACCCCAGCGTTGACGTCTGTTGGGGTGCCATCTCGTACTTCCGCCGCCGGAGCCGCTCTCGCTTTACAGTCGAAGCCGATCAGAAGGATGCAGTGCGTGATCCGGGCGAGTGCTGACTCTTGAGCCCAAAGTCTCGCTGCTTGTGACTCCGGTTCTGACAACTGGGTTCATTAATGGAGGATGACGATTGATAAATGATTGGGGGTCGTGTTCACGCGGCGGCGCCCGGGATGACGATTAGAAAAAACCGGCCGCGGGCTGGAACATTTTTTTGTTATCGTTCTCCTCCAGTCGCAAAATTGTGCAGAACTAGCAGACGACTACTTTTTTAATCGTTCTCTCCCATTTTTATGAATCGTCATCCCGCACTACCAGAGGCAAGGTTTCAGGAGTAGCTCTCGAGGCTGTTCCGCCGCATCCTTCCCGCTGTGGCCCAGCCACAGCCACAGGCAGCAGCTGTCGGCCCGGTGCCTCCGCATGTGCCCCAGGCGGGCAGGGGTCGAAGGCGTCGCAGGGTTTAGCAACCTTACCTTGCATCCTTAAGACGAGCGTTGAAGTTTGACTGTAATGCTGACGCTTCTGCAGGCCTTGCACCCTCGATCTTGATCTTGATCTGGGCATCCTTCGACGGCGCTTCGCCGAATGCGAGATGCCAACGTCTCGATCTCTCGGCGACGAGGCCATCCTTGGAGCGCTCTGGTATACACAAGGGGGTCGTCACGAACGGTGGGGCGGTCGTGCCTTGCCTGAGGTTACAGCTGTCCGAGGCCCAGAACTCGTGGGCCAAGACGTCGTCGAGGACTGCTGCGACGTGCCGTGCCACACCCGGGGATGCATCGGACCCGCGGGGGGGACTGAAGCAAAAGCACGCTCTTCGTCTATTTCTCCCTCCACCTGCTCCTCCCCCTCGTCACCCTCCGGTTTCCCCCTTGCTCGTCCTCACTCCTCCCCTCTCTCTCTCATCCCTCGCTCATCCTCCGCCCCCCTCCCTCCTCATCCTCCCCTGTTCTCTGTCCTCTTGGAGACCCCTCGATCCTCCAATGCCAGAGTTCTCCTCTTACTCCTCATGTCCCCTCCGCCTCCACCTCCTCCTTCTCCTCCCCCTCTCCTCCTCCTCCTCCTCCTCCTCCTCCTCCTCCTCCTCCTCCGTTGCCATTTTGGCTCAAGGCCCCTCCGTCCCGTTGCAGCAGTAGCGGGGGACTGCGCCGAGAGCGGGCAACCTTTCTTAAGGATTTCTGGCGCGTCGGGCGCCAGCGGACACCTTTCCATCACGAATTTCTTTCTTCTCCTTCCATGGGCCTCCGCGGCCGCGCTGGTCCTGCAGGCGCCGACGAGGACGCCGACGCCAAGAGCAGAAGTGGCGAACGCAGGTCTCATCGTACTGGAGACCGAGACGACCTTCAAGAACAGGACCCCTGGAAACATCACCGAGCTGGAGCTGGACTTCCTCCTTCTGCAGTCTCGACAGCAGGCAGTACGTCCAGTGGTGGGTCATTTGGAGGCAGCGCGGACAGTATCATCAACAAGCACATGGAACAGTTCCGAGGCCACATGGCCAAATACATGGAGACCACCTTCCAGGACACGATGCACTCTGTTCGTGAGGAGCTGGGGACGATGGTGGCAAAGCAGCTCCAGCCTCACGCGGAACGCCTCGACAGACAACAGGCCCAACTTCGAGTGGTTCAAGCCAAGAATGAGGAGCTCGGCCAAGAGCAGGAGGCCCTCAAGGCATCAGTCAAGCAGTTGCAGGACACCCTTGCCATCGCAGAGCAGCAGGCAGCTGCACCCATCGACGTTGCCAAACTCATGGAGTGGAACCGCACTGCCGACCCCTCAGTCTTCATCCTGTCATGCGATGTGGCGGCGGCTCCGAATGATATTTTCAATGCACTTGACGAATGGTTGCAGGCGGCCAATGTATCCAGGGACCAGCTGCGACTGGTCGGCGACACCCCGCAGAAGAAGTTCATCCTGCAGTGCGTCGGAGGTGCCGCTGGTATTGCTCGAGCCAATGCATTGCAGACATCCCTCAAGTTACCTAATAATCAAGGCTGGCGCCGGTTTGAGGTGCTCGCTGTCAGCGGAGCTCGGATTGCCCTGTACGTCAACCCTGATAAGAAAGCAAAAGACATTCGGAAAGAAGTTCAGACTAAGAAGCTGCTGGGACTGGTCCGGACAGCTGCGGCATCTTCGACGGTGGCTGGCACGCGTTCTGCTGAATGCTGGGCATGGAGACCGAAAGGACTGGTCTACATTGGGCAGACAGCGATCGTATCGGTGCAGGTTCAGGGGCCTGAGGAAGCTACGAAATTGGCTTGGGACACACAGGCTGCAGAACGGCCCGGCATCGATTGGCAAGCGGTTAGCACTCAATTCAAAGATCTATGGAAGGAAGTTGACGCATCAGATTGGACGTGTTCCTAATCAGCGCTTCGCACCGTGGGAACTCCAGGCATCCTCGCACCACGTCGGCATTGTCTGCTGGAACGCCCATGGTCTCCTGTTGCGGCGGGATCCTGCACGGCGCCGCCGTAAAATTGCAATTGTGGCAGACCTTCTTCGCAAGCGTAATGTTGTTATCATTCAAGAGGTCCATGGCTTTGAAATTTCATTGGCTAACTACCTGAACCAGTTCAACGTGAATTACAAGATTCATTTCTCGGGGACGGACCGTCCCAGTGCAGGCGGGGTGGCGATCTTGATTCCATGGTGTGACGAGCGCACTGTGGCGGCTGCTGGGGCGTCGGGTCTTCCTCGGCTTCGCCGCCGCACCCTGGACGATGGAAGAGCCATCATGACGAGCATCGAGAACCCTGTGACAAAGGGTGAGTTTCGCATCATGAATATTCATAACTACGATATTTCGGAGGCGGGTCGCACAACAATCAAGCGGGTCTGGAAAGAATGTATTGCATGGTCGAAGCGCGACCCGTTGAGGCACACGTTCATTGTTGGCGGCGACTTCAACATGATTGATGCACCGACGGAGCCCATTCTGCATCCACAACCGAAACAAGCGAGGAGATCTGAGGCAGGCCGTGCCAACCGCTCCGAGCCGTTCTGGCGTGAGCTCTTCAATGATGCGGCGATGCTTGAGGTTTGTTCTCCAATTCCGACTCGTTACACTGCGGACAACAATACCCTGAGAACTATTGATCGTTTCTTTGTTTCTATAGAGTCGGCCTTCGCCATTGAAACTGAGATGGACGTGGAAGTGATCCAGGGCGCCTTCACACTGAATGCCAAGCAGCTGAGCGACCATGCGATCATCAAACTTCGGATGGCGACTCGACGAACCCCTGCTGCGGCCAACCAGCGCATCCCATCATTCATCTTTAAGAGCGATGAATATCGTGCTGCCCTCGAGAGATGCATTGACGGATGCAAGTATGAGTTGATGGAGCCGTACCGACAGTGGGAGGTGATCAAAGAACTTATGACGGTGGCGGCGGAGACTGCACGTAATGAACTCTTGGCCGAGGAAGTCACAGGAGAAGGTGATATCCCGAGAAGAGCGACCTTATTGGCCTATGGCGCTGCGGCTCGCGCAGTGTGGCGCCAAGACGTGCGGCCGGCAAAGAAGCTGATCAATCGCACGATCGTCGGCGAGAGGGAGCTCTACATTGACGGGCACGAGGTGAAGCTGAGGCAGCCCGACACGTTCCACAACCGGGTGAAGGATGCGCAGGCTGCCATGCTGGACCGCGAAGCTGCTGCATTGGAACGTCAGGGTGCAGGCCGTGCTACCAAGCGGAATGCAACGGTGATGGTACAGCGGGCCCTCCTGTGGAACAACACCAAGCGGATGCTGATCCTGGCTGGTGCGAGACAAGGCCAGATGACCAACAGAGCTGCGTCGGGGGCGCTGGCCGCTGAGGAGGTTGAGATTGTGCGAGACCCCAGCTCCATGGTAGATGCCCTGAAGAAGCATTGGGAGCCCGCCTTCACGGCCTCCCCTGTGCGTGAAGACCTGATCGGACCCTTCCTGGATCGCCGCATGCCCGAGCTTGATTACACGATGCTGCAGATACCCACAATCGACAACCTCCGCTTCGTCTTCAAGCGGGCGAAGGACTCTGCCCCTGGACCTGATCGACTACCAGCCCGCGCATGGCGCGGCCATCCGCAGCTGATCATGGTACTGCACAGGGTGATGGAAGAGATGGCCAGTGGGCGGCGGCCGCCCGAGCACTTCAACGACTGCCTCCTGGCGTTTCTGCCCAAAGGCGACGAGCCCTCGGACCTTGTGGACTGCACGAGATCTCCTGAGTGCACGAGGCCCTCGGTTTTAAAGAACTCGGACAGTAAAGGGGTGGCCGCTGCGGTCAACCTGTATCTAGCTGGTGCCGTCGCTAGAGATGCCCATGGAGTCCAGAAAGGGTTCGTGGCTGGAAGGAAGTTTGGCGAGCACATTGTTGCTCTCGACGCCGAATGTCGGCGGGCGGGGCTCCTTCCAGCGGCGGCCGAAAGACTCCCTGGGTTCTTTAGTTTCGATGTGCGTGCTGCCTTCCCGAGCATGTCTCAACTCTTCCTCCGTCGTGCGCTTGAGCGGTTTCGTCTCCCCCCCTCCTATTACAACATGCTCGACGGGTTGGCTCACGACACTCTCGGACACGCTCGTGTGGGTGAAAATGTAAAGCCACTTTTTTCCTATCACGTCAGGCGCCCCCCAAGGGTGCCCACTGTCCGGGAGTCTCTGGGCGCTTGGTTTCGATCCCTGGGTGCGTTGTCTGGCCATGGCGTTTCCGTCGGAGCAAATGGGGGCCCTTGGGGGGTGCGCCGACGATATTGGCGCGGTCGCAATGACTATCCAGAGTGCAAAGCATATGCACCGCACTTTCGAGCAAGCTGAGCAGCTTGCCTCTCTCCAGCTCCAGCCCAGTAAGTGTTGTTTCGTCCCTCTTTGGGCCCCGTGTGATGAATTGACGATTTGCAGCGCGAGAGAGGCCCTCGCTGAAGTTGCTCCAGGGTGGGGGAATTTTAAAATCGTGGGCGCTGCGAAGTACCTCGGGGTTTGGCTCGGCCCTGAGGCCGACCTTCGGGCCCAGTGGAAAGCTCCTGGCCAGAAATGGTGGTCGAGGTGCCGAGAGATAGCGCTGTCTCGGGCACCCTCTGAAGCCTCCTGCCGTCTCTACCTTATGGTTGTCCTGCCGTGCCTCTCGTATGTTGCCCAATTTTTTCCCCCTGACCCTCGCCTCCTCTCCAAGGAAAGCTTGGCGCTGCACAAGCTGCTTCGCATCCCCCCCAATTCATTTCGCATCGACGAGCTCCTGGGACTTGGTCGGTGGATGAAATCGGCCTCGCCACTGCCAGTATAGCTCTCATGCAGAGCCAACGCGTGGCGTGCGAGCCACATTACATTCGGAGGATGGAGGAGTGTCGGTGAGCGGTTGAGGACGGCGGCGGAGGATTTTGGCACGATCGTAGATCTAGTGCGACAGGAGTGGTCGCCCAGGTTTTGGAAACGTCGTGTTTCAATCGCCCAGTTTGTTATGGCTCTCGAGGAGCCACTGCGAGAATTTCCGTCGGGGACCCAGGCGAGGGCGAAACGGTCCCTTGTCACGATGTCGCGAATTCCCCGACCTATCCTTCGTCGTGCCATTGCCGACGCTGCGGAGCCCCTGCATGCTCCTGCCGCGGCCGACGGAGAGAGTCGGCGGAAAAAGGTCGGTCCCAGCAGACAGACTCGTCTCCTTCGGTCCCTCTGCGCTGATCTGCTCCCTGACTCCATTCCCAACCTTCTCGCTCGTCGCCTCCCGAAGTGGATATTTGATCAGCAATTGCCTGATGCTGCGGAGCTTGCCAATCGTTGGTCGGCTCTCAAAGCTGTGCTTTCCTCCC